TGTGGATAAGTGCAAGATAATGCATCTTGGGTGTAAAAGGTACAGAATATTTGATAGAGTACTAACCTCAACAGCTGAGGAAAGGGATTTAGGGGTGATTATTTCTGATGACTTAATGGTAGGCAGACAATGTAATAGAGCAGCAGGAAATGCTAGCAGAATGCTTGGTTGTATAGGGAGAGGTATTAGCAGTAGAAAAAGAGAATTGCTCATGCTATTGTACAGAACACTGGTGAGACCTCACTTGGAGTATTGTACGCAGTACTGGAGACGGTATCTCTAGAAGGATATTGATAATTTAGAGAGAGTTCAGAGTAGGGCTACTAAACTGGTTCATGGATTGCAGGATAACACTTACCAGGAAAGGTTAAAGGAACTTAACATGTATAGCTTGGAGGAAAGACGAGACAGGGGGGATATGATAGAAACATTTAAATACAGAAAGGGAATCAACACAGTAAAGGAGGAGACTATATTTAAAAGAAGAAAAACTACCACAAAAAGAGGACATAATCTTAAATTAGAGGGGCAAAGGTTTAAAAATAATATCAGGAAGTATTACTTTACTGAGAGGGTAGTGGATGCATGGAATATCCTTCCAGCTGAAGTGGTAGAGGTTAACGCAGTAAAGGAGTTTAAGCATGCGTGGGATAGGCATAAGGCTATCCTAACTATAAGATAAGGCCAGGGAATAATGAAAGTATTTAAAAAAATTGGGCAGACTAGATGGGCCGAATTGTTCTTATCTGCCGTCACATTCTATGTTTCTACTGACCGTGCAGTTCTCTTAAAAATAGGTCAAACAACATAGGAAAAACAACATAGGAAAAACATACAACATGAAGATTTATATTTGTTTGTCTGACATTCTAGGTCAGTGGTTTTTGACATTTTTTGACAGGTGCCCAAATTATGTCCATGGCATTAAAGTTGTCCAACTCAGTGACCCATTCTTCAACTGTTATAAGATGTCACAAATTAGAGACTGGGAAACGCTGTCATTAGACCGTTTCCCACTATCGAAAGGGAAAAGGCAGAAAAGCTAAGTAAACCATTTGATCCACTGAAATACCGTGAGCACCCGAATTTGAAACAGGAACAGAATACTAAAAAACTGCATGGCAAACAGGTTTTGATATCTGTAACCCAAAACAACCGCCATATGCTTAACTTTTTTCATACTAATAAAATACCTGGAATCATAGAGGAAACATTATTATGTATGATGAATGTGAGAAAGATTTATGTGAAAACACCCTGAGAATATTTCTGCCTGGCACAGATTCAATAAAAGTCCAACAACCTAACTCCCCATCACTCAATCAGCAATATTAAAAGAACACAATAGTGTTCGGAATACAAAACTATACTGTGAACATTATAGTGTCCCTCTTCCCCCACATTACCCCCTCACCTCATCAGTCATTCACTTACCTGATTTCAGGTGAGGTTTTACAGGTTTCCTTCTCTCATGACAACATGTTGGTGGAAAAACATAATGTGTGGCAAGCACATTAAGGCTTCCCAAACAGAAAGCATTGCATCAATCGATGGAGATTTTCAAGACGCTTGATGTCTCCATGCTGCCCAGCATTGTTTCACTGAGTTAAACTCTGTGAAGCACCAGGAAGTGCCTCTAGTGGCTGTCTGAGAGAGGAGTTATTCCTGCAATCTCAGAAACTGCAATAATTAACATTACACCGTGAAGGGGAAAAGCGCACAACACCCAGATCACTTTAATAACACCACAAGGACAAAGAAAAAATGCATACGTTTCAGACCTCTATTCAAAGCATTTTTATTAGGGGTTCAGACCTCTACCACAGGACTACTCTGTACTTTTCCTTGTGTGGAGCAACTACTTCAATATTGTACAATCACCCTATTTAGATTAAAATACGAGGGGAAAGAATAGGTATTTAATCATCTTTTTTTCCAGTCCTGAGATTAACTTCATGCAGCATACAATGACGTTGTCCTTTAGGCAGTTTCCTCTTTGTTTTCTTATCCAATCCAATGGTTCTTATAGAGAAGCATTGGGGATGAAGAGCAAGCATAGTGATTACTGCACTTGTCCAATCGAATGTTTTTCATATGGAAGCAATGAATCCAAAGCTTGTCTATGATAATCATTTGATGACATTTGGGGAACGTCGAATGTGACATAAGCAACATTGACTCTGTGGTACAGGGGATCCATCATTTAGTGGCTATAAGGAAGACAGCCATAAGAGAAGTGTTTAACCCAGCAATGAAAACATTACTGTATCTACAAAATGGCAGTGTTTTACATTGCAGGACCAAAGGAGGAGAAAGAGAGAAGTATGTATGTATGTATGTATGTATGTATGTATGTATGTATGTATATATATATATATATATATATATATATATATATATATATATATATATCTCAAAAACCAAAAAGGTTATGGTGGGGAAAAAAAATTGTGATTGAAAACCCCTTCCACCTGACGTCTGTGGATAGTTAATACAATGTTAAACAAAAATCTGCACACCAGTCAAGCCATAAGACTTACTTTTCCTACAGAAATCACAAATCTGCAGTGATGTTACTAACGCAAAGGATTCTGGGTGGACATATGCAAATTAGTTTAACAAAGAATCACATTTTTGCCTCATTCCATTTTAAACATGGATTCCTTAGAGTCTGTGTTTGCTGTATACAACACAATTTAGGAAACTATGTAAAGCCAGTGGTGAATAATAACAGTATCCCAGTGAGACATACAGGAAATAACAGATACTCAAAACACCCTAGTGAGTTTCCCTTTATCCTCACAACAAACCTAAATATACATACAGTAAAAGGTGGCGTATATGTAGGAAGGACCATTCGACCTTTGAAAGTTAGGATCGCTGAACATATTCGCAATATTAAAAATGGCTTAGAAACCCACAGTGTGTCCTTACACTTTAAAGAGACTCATAACCAAAACCCAGAAAATCTGTTTTTTGTGCAATGAAGGAAGTAAAAAGAGATTGGAGAGGGGGTAATTATATTAAAACATTGGGTAAAGAAAAAAAGCATTTTATTTATAATTTTAAAACCTTAATCCCCCATGGCTTAAACTCTGATTTTGAGGTCTGCCACTTTTAAATAGTTTTTTTAAAATAGTTTTTTATTTATAAAATTTTCTATAAAATATATATTTTTTTATACAAGTTTTAATAAGAGGATCCCTTTCTCTTTTTTTATTTTCTAATATCCCATACAGTAGTATGTTTATACATTTTTTTCTGTTTCCTTCCATTTTAATTATGTATAATTGATTACCCATTTTAAAAATATAATGGTTATCATCTGGATTATATAAACGATTTAAGTGAAAGTTGGATATTTCACACTGCATTATTCATTTTAATATAAACTATCTACTAATTCACCCTATTTAATTGTGATATTTAATCTGGCTAGCAATTAAGATATTGTGCAACTTAATTTTAGTATTATTAGAATTTTGTACTGTTTTTAAATACTACATATTTCCTATTATTAAATCTCTTTTTATTATTCATATTGTACCCATCATAAACTGCTTCATGCTGCATAAGAGACTTATATATAGTAAGAACGCATGGATGCGTTCCACTACAGAGGAAAAGGAAATGAGACATGCGTTCCACCGATGGAACGCAAAACCCGGAAGCGGAAATGCTACACGAATGCACAAACCGACGGCAGCAAACAAGCGCCAATTATGGATTATTTAAAAGGACACTTACAACCAGCAACATATCAGCAATTGAGGAAGCCTCTGAACGAAGCCAAACGCGTTTTGCACTATTAAGGACTATTCCAAAGAATTACCTTCAAACTGTAAGGTCTTGATTTTATTTTAAAAAGTTTTATAACCATTTGTGCACTTTTAATAAAGCACTTTATTCTTATACTTACCTTTGAGAGGATATTTCATTACTCGATTGTAAACAGACAATATTGCACTATTACGTGTCCCATTTTGTTTTATCTCTAGGAATATTTACTATTGTCAGCTATTCAAATAAGAAGATACTCCACCTTATACTGTATGTATGTAAAGCCAGTGAACCACTCATGGACAGCTGTTTCATGGTGAATGCAAATTATCAGCATGAGGTTAGTTATCAGCATGAGGCTTGGTAGTGCTTGGGAAGCAAAAACTAAAAAGACCAAAAACCAATACCAACCAATATATATAAAACTTCAGCACCAAACAGAAAATATTAATAATCTGCAATATGCCTGTGTGCTAAAACATCAAGACTTGATATTGACTCTATATTGTCGAAACATTTTGTTGGACATGTATTAGTAAATAATCTTTTTTGGAAGTCCTTTGAGTGCTGCCAATTGCTATGTTTTTATATACATACATATTCACAATATTTTATTGATGTATACAAGAGTGAATCGCATGATTAAAATTTAAATATAACACTGACATAATTAATACAAATTGTTATGTATCCTAAGGCCACAATATCACACTGCACAAGCATCAGCAATGTCTCTTTCAGGTTTAACACCCTGATTCACGACAAACATATTTACCAAATAAAAACATACAGACAGTTGTTTTCTAATAAAGAATGCAACTGTATAATGAATAATTCAGTTCACGATCTTTGTGGGAAATAGCATACTCCAAAATATAAATTATGCCTTGAGTATTACTAGATGTGTATAAGATCTTTTAAGCACCCTCAGTCAATGGGAAATATATTTCCTTTGACATTTAAGAACGCACCTATATATCAATAAATGAAAACCCCTTGAGTCAGAATAGGCATTTTAACTAAACTTGACATATTAGCTAGCTTAGAAAAAGAGTTCTGGACTGGTTAATGTCAATTCTGTACATATGTATGTGTAAAAAGTATTCATTGGGTAAAGAGTATTTATTGGTTAAGAGTTTTTTTTGTTTTTTTTTAAATGTAATATTTTATTTGTGCATAATGATAATGACAAACATGCTCAGGGAGCCCCAATAGCAGTCCTTGAGCTCATTTTCAAGCTTAACAATTGGAGCATTCAGAAAATCAGCACATTTTTTGTTTTATATAGTTGCATTCAACATGTTAATGACAGATTAGTAGCAGATTAATAGCCTCAGACAAGTGAGCAGGGTATTTTGCATGTTCTCGTTGCCCTGGGTGATTGGTTAGTGTCGAGTGATAGAGAAACGAAGAAGTTAGTAATAAACTATAAGCAGGGGAGAACATATTGGAGACATGATAAGAAGCATATTGGAGACCTTATAAGAGCATATAGGAGACATTATAAGAAGGCATGTCCCGGGTTAATGACTGATGCAGAGGGGTTTTTAATTCAGCTGCTTTGCTCTTGTGGTATAGGGCTTGTGTGACAGTCCCCCCTCTGAGTTAACCAACTCCCATCCTTAGCCAAATGGCGGTATTATCCATCGGGCATATTTTGCCTGCACAGGGACTTCTCCAGCCCCAAGCCTGTTCGAGGGCCAGTATCCTTTTTCCACAGACCTGGGTGCTGCAACAGGCCAAGTCTAATACCGGCAGGGAGTAGTCGGGAGGTCGAGGTGTCGTACGCCGCGTGTCACAGGGAACCTTCCGACCTTGTGGATGATGCGTGGTGTATATGCCCCTTGTGGCTCTCTGCTTGGGAAGGCAAGCGGTAGATCTCGTGGGTGTCGTCGCTGGAGTGCTGCCTTGGGTAGGTCCCTTCACAGGCTGTCGCTTGGGTCTCCCAGCTTCTGTGCACCTGCTTACCTCGGTGGCTTGGACGCGGCGCTGTAATAAGAGCCAGAACCGTTGAAATATGGCGTCCAGCCTCCTCAGTGAATCTGCCATGTGGTCGCGGGTGGTCGCCTGCTTTGGACTTCCCGCGGTTGCCTGTGAGGGAACTGCATCCGCCATCTTGCCACGGCTAGGTTCTTGCTCAGCGATCTTGCCTGAGTGGTTGATGCGAGGTCTGTTGTTCTGGTCAGCTTTAAGTGGACCGGGATGACCCCCACCAGTCTGGGGGGAGGGCGGATAGGAGCACTGCGGACTCAGGTCCCGGGTCGCAGCGTGGGTGGATCGGCCGCTTCCCCCACAGCTTTGTCCCAGGTAGACCCCAGTAGAGCTCCCAGGCTTTTCGGGTGCTTGAGTGCTGGCTTTAGTCAGAATGTAGTTAGCCCGGGGTCTCCTGACCATCAGTATGTTGGATGCTGTACGTGGAAGCCTCATAATCGGGCAAAATACCCCAAAATCAGGCTATGTTTCAGGAGCTCAGGTTTTCCACGTCTAGTCGGCTCAGAGGTCAGGCTCCGCCCCCCTTAAGAGTTTTTTAATAAGGAATGTTTCCTCTTCACACATTGGTAGAGAAAATCAACACCCCTTGTTTTTCATAGTGTGCAATCAAACAAATGTGGGAATTAGATGTTTAAAGGATCTAAAGGCATGGAAAGTGAAATCAGGTTATTAGAACATATTATGTGGTGTGTGCCATCCAATATAGATAAGGAAAATTGAGTAACGGGTGCAAGGAGCCTAGTACACTGCAACCAAGATAATATGTAGATGACCTCCATGAAGGAACAGTAAGACTCTTTAAAGGTCTATTGATATGATCTGACAATGCACATCACTAACAAGGAAGTGCTGGGCAAAAAGAGGATGGGTCTACAACAGCTGAAGATATCAGTTATTAGAAATTAGAATATTTTTGTGCAAATATAGTAAATTATATAACTTTTATATAATAAAACGCATTTTTGGACAGTTTCTTTTAACTGTATTTTTAAGACTATCGTATACCTCTGCCCCTATCCTCAGCTAGCAAATAAAGGTTTAAAAACATTTTTTTTTCTTACCTGATTTCAGCGCTGTGGTCCTTCGCTGGTGGATTAGGCTCCTCCTCTGCACAACAATCTGGAAACCTAATGCGCATGTGCGGCAAGCAGCAAGCAGTTGGACATCCCATAGAAAAGCACTGAATTAATGGTTTCATAATGGTCTTTTCACAACGCTGAACATCCTCATACAAGGCGTTCAGTGTCATTTTACAGAGTTAAACTCTGTATAAATTAAGTAAGTCCCTCTAGAAATTGTCTGGGAGACAGCCACTAGAGGCAGTCTTAACTCTGCAATATAAGCATTGCAGTTTCTCTAAAACTGTAATGTTTTAAATTGCAGTGATAAGGGAATAGGGACACTGCACACAGACCACTTCAATTAGATGAAGTGGTCTGGGTACCTTTAGTGTCCCTTTAAGCATTATTATTACAAACTATTAAGAATATGCTAGCATGTTAAAATACCAAAAGAAAAAATAATACCTTAAAATACTTCTACCTATGAGAAACTTTACTTTTTTGTCTATTTGTTCATTCTGGGCTTCATTCTTATTCTATAAACGCTGTCCAGTGAGATTTTTTGGAATATGAAGCTTAGCCCCAGGAACAGTTCCACTCATTATATAGGATCAGTTTAACCCCTTAAGGACACATAACATGTGTGACATGTCATGATTTCCTTTTATCCCAGAAGCTTGGTCCTTAAGGGGTTAATAAGCTGATAGCAGCCATGGCGCAAAAATAATATTTTATGAACCTGGCTGTGGGCTGCTATCTCCCGAGATACTTACTGCATGTATGGACACACTCTCTACAGAACCAGGGAAGACAAGAGATGTGCATGGCATGCAGATGCTTGGCACTCAAACTGGATTGCAAAAGTGGAACTTAAATTCCTATTTTAAAGTCAGTGAGCCAGGGGCTATCTTACAGCTGCAGCAATTTCTACAAATTGCTGCAGTTAAAAGCCAACCTGAGCAGGGAACCAGGGACATAGAGCAGAGGTTGCTATGTTGCTTACAGCGACCTTTTAACTTAGCCTCTGATATATAATCAAAGAATGTTATTAAAAATACCAGTTCAACCTACTTCCCCCAGTAGTATGTTGCATGGTTAATGAATTCCCAAGGGATGAGGCTTTATGAGCCTGTGCTAGAAGTGATGACATCGAAGGAGTGCATTGAAAGAATGACTTAGCTCTGTCACCAGAGCAATACAAGCTTACAAAACCATTTTATAAGTACAGATAGATACATTTATACATCAGCTACATAATCTTCTCTGCATATGCTACAGTGTTCAAAGGCTTTAATGGCACATTTAATAAAATGTGACAACACAAGGTTACATGCCTGAAAATTACTACATAATTAATATGTTGCGTTTGTTTAAAAAATTCCATAATTTATAATTAAAAAAAACACATGAAAAAACAACTCAGAAATCTAGGTATTGAGACTGCTTTTTAAATGTTACATTAAAGCAGGTGTGTAGCGTGGCTTTGCTTTTGCATTTGACGTAGCATAGCAGGTAGAAATTAGATCTCTGTAGATACCTTGCACTTCAGCTTTCAGCCTAAAAAGAGCTTCTGTCTACTCTGCACCTTAAACTGGTGTGATGATGCTAAGGAAGTGCAGATGGCATAGCAGAGGGTTAAATTGATCTACAAAGTACACAGTGAAAGAGCAACAAGACTCATTCATGCTGCTTGCACAAATTCAATAAAAGGCAGTATGGATATCCACTGCACATCATATACGGTTTTGTAACCCACCTTGTCCAATCACCCTTAGTGTGGCGGATTTGCCTGATACACAGCATAAAACAGACATAAATAATAAGATATTAAACTAAATATCCTTAGGGATGTAAGTCATGTGAGGCCTTCTCAATGTCACATACATATCCATAATCTTATTAAAAATTAAAATGGCATTACAAAATCAGTTATTAAAACAGGGACCCACAAGCAATTTATGTAAAAAAAAAATTGTTTTACTATTTTACAGTATTTTACTTTTTCTTCTTAAAACCATAATGGACAAATATAAAAAAAATGGTGTTATCTGTTGCTTAGTTTAGTGATATTGACCCTTTCTTGTTACTTTTATTTTAACAGCCAGCCAAAATGTGTATTAAGAGTTATAAAATATTTATTCAAACACAAACACTTAATTCACCCAGGGTGCAAACCTATAAAGAACTCCCCGAGTGCCTATATACCATAGTTTTTGAAAATATAAAAGATGCACATCAAATAAAGTTAAAATAATACCTTATTCATACAATTTTCTAAAATCACATATATATATACAATGACATAAATGTAAGAAGACATATGCAACAAAATCTACCCCCAACATTTTGGCATAAAGTCTTTCCCAAGGGACTAGCATGAAGAAGGCTTTGTGACAAAATAGGTAGGTTTCTAATTGGTTGTTGGAAAAATTATGCTGTATTTAGTTGACTTTTTTAGCTAGCTAACTTTAAAATGTATTTTAAAATGGGATGTTCCAAAGAAAAGAACCACGTGGCCAGTACTGGTCCAACGTTGCTGATCTGGACACCTGTAAGAAAAGACCTTACAAGGCACCTGTCATGCCCCGAGCAATTTATGCTCATTAGATTGAGCATATGATTCGATCTATACATTGTGCTACCAGTTTTGAGAGTGAATGTATAGATTCGGAGATAAACATCTTTAAAAATAGTTTTTTCTCACAGCTGTCAGTCAATGCCTCAGCGTACCAAGACATTGACTGACAAGGTGGAGCAGAAAAGATCTCCCACTGGAGGTCCCTCTGCTCTACACCCATAGCAACCACAGTGTATGTGCTTTTGTTGCTATGGAAACTCCCATGCCAAGGCACTGACTGACAAGTGAGAGCAGAAAAGACCTCCCACACTAGGTCTCTCCACTCTCCATGCATAGCGCTGGCTAAGGAGTATATTAACAAGTGACGTGACATTACTCCGTCCGCAATGAAGCCAGCATGTTGAACTCACTGAGGAGATTTGCCCTGCTTGGGGATAAGTCGCAAGCAGGGCAAATAAAAAAAAGCCAGGAGGCGGCGCGTGGGACGTCCCAGAGATGGGTGTTACACAAAGAGTAGCTCCCACGAAGCGAAAGATGAGCAAATCAATATATTTTACATTGAATATACCATGTACCTACATGATATATGGTGCATTCAATGTATATGGCATGGCAGCAATTTAAGGTAAGTTATTTTTTTTTTCATCATAGGTCCACTTTAAGCCACTTTTGCTTTCAGGCTCAGTGGACCCAAGACCAAATGATTTTCTAAGGGGTAATAGCTGTCCTCTTCGTGACTCATGTTAGGGCTTTTTCACAGCAGGTGTGTTCCTATCTTTTGGTTTTTTATTCTTTGAAGTGACAAAGCGGGATGACCTGTTTTGAAAGCCGGTGTCATCAGGTATCCTTAAATAATATATTCTCAGTCCTTTCATAATGTATCAGTGAAGGCCTCATTGACTGGGAACATTACTACCATGCTAGATTAACCTGAAAATAGTTTAGACTGCCATCAAGTCTTCAAATTCTAATGTCAATCTGACTGCTGATATTCTGTTTTCTGTTTCTTCAGTTGAAAACCTGCTTTAACCACAACACTAACTTCTTATTCTGAAGATGCCTCTTCCAACTCAATGAACTCTAACTCAGAAGTTGATGAAGGAACATCATCACCCGGCTGATGTTGATGTGAAATACAATTGACTGCTGGTTTGGGAGATGTTTTCACCAGCCTTGTCCACTGTGCATTTGTTCAGATTTGCTTTCAGATTACAGTAAAAAAGAAAGTTGATGCAAAGTTGTTTTGTTTTTGTAAACAGACTGCACACACTTGGGCCTGTGAATATTTGAGCTGTTTTGCATATGACATGATTTCTTAAAAGCCATGTACAGCAATCATATCAAAAGAATAGTCAATATAAGAACATTTACAATGAATGCAGTAACAAGGCAGAATGCATAGTAGCCAACAGAAGAGAGATAAGAATTTAACCTAAATTTATGGTTGTGGACTAGTAATTTGCCCATTAAATGGTGAATACTTGGCAATGGGGCTAGGGTAGCATTGTTCCCCCAAAGAAAAAACAGTAAAATCTATGCAAGGTTTAACAGGTATTAAATAAAAGCATGTTTACCTCTTAGTCCATCTGGACACCATCAATGAAGATATGTATAACCAGTGTCCATGTTTATTGTCAGGCCTTTCACTTCATCTCATAAGTGAGAAAAAAACAGAGTCGATCTAGGCTGCCTAAATTTAAGCAAGCATATTAACCCAGGGGAGTAATTGTATAATGATATTTAATAACTATCAAAGTTGCCCCCAGTGAGTTCCTTTTATGGGATCATTGCTGGGTGGCACATCTAAGTAAAGGAGGTAGACTGCAGGCTGAAATACAACACAGAGTTCAAAAAAAATAATCCATCTAACAATCAAGGCAGCATTGAATAATCAGTGAAAGTTCCTTCAGCAGAACGCAAAGTACACAATGCAAAAGCTTCCTGTTGGTCCTTTCTTTGCCCTGTCCCAGCATCATGCTGTGATATTTTAAGTATTTTTTGTTACAATAAAGCTTGTTTTAACTCTAGTGGATGACTGCATGCTGCCTTATTGTTTGCATTCACAGCAAGAAGCCCAGGCCAGGACTCTTCTTGTCTATACGTTTTGCTGAATAACAATTGTTAATCCTGCATTTGGCTGAGCAACATGAGGGTTGTGTTCCACGAACTGGTAGAGAGCTACCTGTTTTTCTATAGCTAATTTAGATGGAACACTAATGCCACTTATGCAGGAATTGTTGTCCAAAGCATTTATACCCAGAGTGCATTCTCCAGGTGACACCTTCATAGTTCTGTGCTTTCTCTCAAGCGCTTCACTACCAACAGCACACAACATCTTTCAAGCAAAAGCATTTGTATGGTTCCATTAGTAATCTGCTTAATCTATAAGGATCCTGAGGTGTACATCCTTTGATCAATATTTTATAACATTCCTGAAGCTTTTCAAAGCAAACTTGAGCATTCAGAAATGTGAACAGGTTTAAATTGTGTGTTTTACAAAGGGAGCATTTTTAAAGATATATTTTGTCCATGTGAATTCTTGTTGTACAAGCAAATATTCTATACATGCTAGATTAAAGCTTAAGCCAAGGTATTTCCATTCAAGTATCATCATGGTACTTTTTATTTGTATTTATAAAACATGACCTATCAACATTACACAGCTGTCGGTACAGGATATTGTAATAAGGCTGAACACCATAGTAGGTGATTTTTGTTTTATTTTGAGTAGATACATTTCCGTGTGCTAATTGATTTAATAGAGCAGTATAACAGGCAACCGAAAGGATAGCCAAGAAACACGAAGCTGAGAGGAAGCTTAGAGAGAGCTCTCCAAGCTTTAGTGCATCATGGTGCCATTGCACTCTTCGGATCACAGGCTATCTAGGCAGTTTCCAAGTTTGCCTTCCCACTGGCTCGCTTGCACCTTCTTCTAGTGATGTCCCGAACGGTTCGCCACGGACGGCGAACATATGCGGTAAACTCTGACCCTGTACCTCACAGTCAGCAGACACATTCCAGCCATTTAGCAGCAGACCCTCCCTCCCAGACCCTCCCACCTCCTGGACAGCTCACTAAGAATGCAGCTTCACAATGAATGTAAAATGGATGCTGTCCAGGAGGTGGGAGGGTCTTGGAGGGAGGGTCTGCTGCTGATTGGCTGGAATGTGTCTGCTGACTGTGAGGTACAGGGTCAAAGTTTACCGCATATGTTCGCCGTCCGCAGCGAACCATTCGGCGAACCGTTCGGGACATCACTACCTACTTCCATTGCCCCAGAAATCAAGCATGTAATACAACAAAGTCTAATGTAAGTAGTTGAAGTCTTTAATAAGCAATGAAACATTTTGCTTCCTCGCTAGGTACATAGTCATCTTTTTTTTCAAAGGATGCTGAAAACACATACAGTACTGCATTAATATCACTGCTGCCATTTAGAAATCATGTTTTTCAAAAATAACAAGATTAATCAGGTGGTCACCTAGGACCCATGAAATAGAATGCGCCTCTGGTGCCATAAAAAAACTTGGCAAACCATGGCCTCATTCATCATTTTCATAGTAACAGTGAAGAGGTGGCCCAAACTGGTAACCTGCCCACGGTTCAGTAGCATCTTAATTCTTCCCTCTTTATAAATGTTCCTAGTTTAAAGGACCACTATAGGCACCCAGACCACTTCAGCTTAATGAAGTGGTCTGGGTGCCAGGTCCAGCTAGGTTTAACCCTTTTTTCTATAAACATAGCAGTTTTAGAGAAACTGCTATGTTTATAATAATGTTAATCCAGCCTCTAGTGGCAGTCTCATTGACAGCCGCTAGAGGCGCTTCCGCGCTTCTCACTGTGATTTTCACAGTGAGAATACGCCAGCGTCCATAGGAAAGCATTGAGAATGCTTTCCTATGGACTGGCTGAATGCGCGCACGGCTCCTGCCGCCCATGCGCATTCAGCCAATGACGTCGCTATAGAGAAGGAGAGGAGGAGGAGAGTCCAGGTCCGGACTGGGAATTAAAAGCAGCCCTGGAAAAAAAATATTTACCAGCCCCATAATGCGTCACGCCAGCATAGTGTGCAGATACAGAGTTAGAAAAGAGAACTTAAAATTAAAAATTATTACTTCAACGTAAAAAAAAAGCACTCATAGGCTTCAAAATAAACAAAAGTGCAGATTTATTTTAAGCAGACGTGCCGGTCCGGCGGCCCTCCTCCTGTCACTGATGGCTGAGGAGTGAAGAATGAGGAGGGAGGAGCATGTCTCTGTACCATGCTCCCTCCCGGTTCCCACAATCCCCAGCACAGGAACCGCGAGGGAGCATGGTACAGAGACATGCTCCTCCTTCTTCACTCCTCAGCCATCAGTGATAGGAGGAGGGCCGCCGGACCGGCAAGGCTGCCAACCGGCCCGGCGGCTCCAGCATGGAATGCGGCCGCCAGCCCACCGGCCCCCTCAGAGTGTGTGCCACCGGACCGGCCACCCGGTGACACACACATGCTCAGCGCAGCCCCCAGATGCCGTGGCCCACCTGGAAATTTCCCGGTATCCTGGTGGGCCAGTGCGGCCCTGGGAGGGTCCCCCACCCGGCGCTGGAGAAAGAGGTAAGTTTAACCCCTTCCACTCCCTAGAGCCCAGCGGGAGGGGGACCCTAAGTGTGGGGGCATCCTCAGGGCACTATCGTGCCAGGGAAACGAGTATGTTTTCCTGGCACTATAGTGGTCCTTTAAAGCAGCAGTATGGACACTGTAGCTCAGCAGATCAATGAAGATTACACCAGAAGATTTCCAAGCAGCACATCCTAGAACGCTTTCAGCAAAAGTAAAGCTCCATTGTAGAAACTGCATGCAGAGTGTTTTCCACGTTGCACAGAGCAGCAAGGTACTGTTATATTCCTCAAGTTCTATTGGAAGAATCTCCAGTCTTCAAAGTGTGATATTTGCTTGCAAAATTCCTGAATTCCATTAGCAATAGAATAGCAAATCATGTCTAATCAAGGGAAACTTCAAATAAGGTGACATCACATCCCATTCCCATCGTTCAATTCACTTCAGCCAATTTCTGTTGTGTTGTTTACTCTGCCCAGAAAGGAGTTACACCTGGCGGCCGTGGTTAATCATTCATTTATTCTGAAATCTCAGTAGTTTGTAAAGCTTGCACAGCATGTAATATGGATGAGGTACAAAGTGAAAAACACAATATCACATTGATTATGGACCAATACTAAGTGCCAATTACCATTGTTATCAGGTAACATTGTTTTTTGCTTGTTATTTTACTGTACTTATTCAGTTTTTCTAGGTTTTTATTTTATGCAAAAACAATGCAGCTGTGTATTCAAAGGTATCAATATTAACAATGCTAGAGGAATTTAACATTATGCTAGTGGCCAAATAGTAGCAACACGTGTGCCAGTTAATAATACGTATTATTTATTTCAAAGTTTACACAAGGATGAGCTAATTCTGTAATGTTTGCTGGTGTGAACTATATCCCCCGGCATGCATTGCATAATATCTGGAAAATGTAACTAGCCCATTAGTGCGTTAGTGCATGAGATTGCTTAATACATATTATAGGACTCTGCCTTTAACTCCTTCACTGTCAAACTTTATTTTTACACCTGTGCTGAGGCTATTTTATCACCTTTCACTTGCAAAAAAAAAAGAAAGGCAAATGGAAACGTTCCTATGGAAAGCCGTGGATAGGCTGAGATCGTAAAACTTGATGATCTCAGCCACAGAAGTGGGAGAGGCGGGGTCAGCTTCAGACAGAATAGCGCTGTGCTGAAAAACAGGTAAGTAAGCTACCTTTTTAACCCCTTAAAACCGCGGCAGATCTTCCTCCTGAAGCCCCCCCCCCGGCCATGTGAGAGTGGAGTCCTTGCGAGGACCTCACAATCACATGGCCGGGATAGCTGGCTGCAGCATTGCCAGCAAGGGGGCTGCCTGTAATGACAGGTGGTCCCCCTGCTGGCTGAAAATAAAATTAAAAAAAGTTAATCAGTGTAAAAAAAAAATAATATATACTTAGATCATATATATATATATATATATATATATATATATATATATATATATATATATATATATATATATATATACACATATACATACAAACACATACACTGTCTAGGTGTATTTTACTATTAATATATATATAATTATATATATATATATATATATTAATATCAAATTACACGTAGACTGATACTGATTAAATATATATATAATTATTGTTATATATATATTATTTATATATAATAAAAAACATTAAAATGTAAATACGTTAAAAAATAATTAAAAATAAATAATTAAAAAATATATAGATGTGTGTTATTTCATTCTAACTGTATTGTGAAATTAATATATATATATATATATATATCAAAATACACGTAGAACGAAATAATATATATATCTATATACATAAATATATACGTATATATCACTATATATACCTATATATAAATAAAAATATTTTAAAAAATTATTTATATATATATATATATACATATATATTCACATACGTATATATACATATATTAATTCTACATATATATTTATGTAATATTTTTACATAATTGGGTATCTTAATTAATTACAATTAGCGGGACCTGCCTGACAACCCATGCCGAAAGTAAAGGGAATTTAATTTGCTAGCACTATATTTAACCCTATAACTTTCCAAGACACCATAAAACCTGTACATGGGTGTACTGTTCTACTCGGGGGACTTCGCTGAACACAAATATTAGTGTTTTAAAACAGTAAAATGTATTACAACGATGATATCGCCAGTAAAAGTGAAGTTTTTTGCATTTTTCACGCACAAACAGCACTAACACGGACGATATTATTGCTGCGATACTTTTTACTGTTTTGAAACACAAATATTTGTGTTCAACGATGTCTCCCGAGTACAACAGTACCCCTCATGTACAGGTTTTATGGTGTTTTCAAAAGTTACAGCGTCAAATATAAGGCTTGTGCTTCATTTTTTCACATTAAAATTCGCCAGATTGGTTACGTTGCCTTTGAGACCCTATGGTAGCCCAAGAATGAAAATTACCCCTATGATGGCATACCATTTGCAATAGTAGACAACCCAAGGTATTGCAAACAGGGTATGTCCAGTCTTTTTTAGTAGCCACTTAGTGAAAAACACTGGCCAAAATTGGCATTTTTTGTATTTTTCACACACAAACAAATACTAACACTAACTTTGGCCAGTGTTTGTGACCAAATGGCTACTAAAAAGACTGGACATACCCCATTTGCAATACCTTGGGTTGTCTACTATTGCAAATGGTATGCCATTATGGTTGTAAATTTCATTCCTGGGCTACTATAAAGTCCCAAAGGCAACGTAACCAATCTGGCGAATTTCAATTTCAAATGTAACGTGCTATATTTGACCCTGTAACGTCCCAAAATGCTATAAAACCTGTACATAGGGGGTACTGTTTTACACGTGAGACATCGCTGAATACAAATATGTGTATTTTATTGCAGTAAAAGCACACAGTATTATGACATTGACAGTTAAAATGTCATGTAGAACTAAAAAAATTTTTAAAAAATCTTATTTTCTTCAATTTTTTTCATATTAAATTATGTTTCATAGCTAAATTTTTGATATTAAATGAAAGCCCTGTTTCTCCTGAATAAAATGATATATAATAAGGGTGGGTGCATTTAATATGAAAGAGGTGAATTACGGCTGGACAGACATGTAGCGCAAATGCCAGGTTTTGTTTACATTTTGTTTCGTTCACAACGTGTACATTTGGCTCCGTCCTTAAGGGGTTAAAAGGAGGCAAAGCGTGTTGGGGGGCCTAAACAGTGTTTTTACAACTATAGTGTCAGGAATACATGACTGTATTCCTGACAATACAGTATACGTTTAAAGGGACACTACACTGCCAAAATAAAAATTTAAAATAATGTTTAGTAGACATACCCTCACTGAAAACCCCCCAGGAAGTAACAGGACTGGTTGTCCTTGCAAGCCCGATTGGTGTAACCATATTCATTTATAAAAGTGTCAATTTCTATTGAAATCTGTACTTTTTGTAAAATGAAAAAAAATAGGATGCACTCTTCATATATAAAGCACTTCAGCAAGCTTAAGTGCGTTAGTGGTCCAGAGTGTCTCTTTAAAGATACACATGCACTGCCAAACA